GAAGAGCGGCAAGGATATGCGCAGAGAGAAGTCGCCGAGAGAGGTACCGGCTTGTATCAACGGGGTCCGACAAAAGGCGCAATCGAAACCCAGAAAAGGAGAGATTTTTACAAAAGCGTAATTTCTCCGCATCATAAGTCAACGTCTAGATTTGGTCTAAAATTTTATATTCGTCTGTAATGTATTGTAGATAATTTAAAAAATTGCCACGGCCGAAGTCAGAAGGCCGAAAGGACTGCGGGCCGGAAAATAATTTGAAGATTCTAATGGGTCAAAATTCGTACCATTCAGGCCCAGTAAGGGCATGAAGTGAATTCAGGAAAAAGGTGCGGGGGAATTGCAGTGGCAGGGGATCGAAACTTCCCTTTCCCTAAGAGTCTTCGAGCACCACTTGCTGCCACTTCTGAAGTCTCCTACAGCTCCCCATGAATCCGGAAGATACATTTGCTAGAGTTCGCATGTACAAATTCAAGTCATACATAAATGAACTATAACAATGTCTGTCCTAATTCAAAACAGTCGGTGTCCAAGTTAAAGATGTCTGTCCTAATGCAGCATACGGTCACATACGGTCACGTATGCTGCATAGTTATGAATTTTGAAAGTATGGACTGCTTCTTGGTTGGAGTTTAAATTTAAAATATCTATACCAAATATCGAATGAGTCGATATCGAAACCCAAATAGAAACCCAAGAAAAATGGAATAACAGAAACTGTATGGATATCTCCGACTTGGTTTTTTTAATCAAATAATAAATATATTTCACATTGATGTAGTTAGTTAATTTGATTTTTATAACATTTATCTCGTGTTGTAACTTTCATTAAGTACTGTAAGGATGAAAATTTTTATTTTTAGTTGTCATACGTACCGATCAATTTCGATATTCCATAAAAAAAATATGAACTGTTGATTCAAACTCGAATTGTTATATATACACACAAAAGGATGAGACAAGTGAACGTGACACATATTAATTTTGTACCCGGGACCGGAGATTGTACGCCAACTGTATAAGAATAATTCGAATATGGACTTTTTTCTTCAGATTTCTTTTGATTATATTAATTACATGGTACGAATTATTATACTGATAACAGATGATAAAATAAAAATAAAAATGTACTTCAATTGATTTGACCGTGGGGAAATTTTGAAGGAGAGAAAAGGGGCGAGACCAGTGAACGTGATATATAATTTATTCCAAAGGCGAACTAAATCACACGATGGAAACCAAACCCCACCTTTAAAGACATGTAACAACAAATCAGAATAAAGCCAAGCCAAATAAATTTGACTTCTCTGATCATAACCACGAAACTATAATATATATATATATATATATAGCTTATTGTCATTAATATGTGTGCTTAATGCATAAACTATACATGAAAGTTGACGATGGATCTATATGTCTGCCCCGGCTGCCAACCGGCCGGAATGACGTCGGAGGCGACGACAGTATCGCCGGAGTCCAGTGAAGTCAGCCTGAGAGAGAGTGGGGCCCGCAGCGGCGATGGCACGTTGAGCTTCCACACGGCGCCCCATGATTGGTCCATCGGCAGCCACGTGTCCGAGTCTAGGGCTTGCTTGAGCTCGACCCGGCCGAGCTCGCCGTCTCCGTCCTCGTACTCCACCAAAGTCGCGAAGTAGTTGGCGTTTGAACCCGCGTCCACGTGAAACGTCACCGTTTTGCCTGGATAGTTGCACTCCACTCTACACAAAGCATTACATATATACGTAACATCAAAATGCAACGTCGGTTAATTAATATAACAAAAAATACACGTACTTTCTGTAGAGAATTTGTAAGACACCGAGGTTGCGAAGCTGAGAATCTTGTCCGGAAACAGCCATAGCCCCGAAGGCGGAGCCGCTCAAGTCGAAATGGGCAGAGTCCGAAGCGCATGGTCCTCCCGGACACTCATCTATTATCACTACCGACACTGGTTTCCCCGAGCACGCCGTGTTCGACGTGCACTTTATCTGCCAATTCCAATCCAAATTCATATTGTATAATATATTCACTATATATATATATATATATATATTAGTTTTTTCCCTAAACTTATATATAATGTAGTCGTAGATGTGGTCGAACCTGGTAACATGCTCCACACCCTTTGCCGGACTTGAAAAGAGAAGGACCTCCGGCTGAAACCATGGCGGAAAACGGAGGTTGTGCCACAGAGCTTCCGTATCCACATGCTCCACCTTATATATATATATTCACCCACCATCTTTATTCATTAGTTGAGTTATTCAATTATATGCATACGTATAGCCTTTTCTTATTATATATATATATAGTCTTTTTATATGTACCGTCCGTTCCAGCGCCATCGGGGCTGCCGTACCACGTAGCACCGGCGTGAGACCAATCCGAGACATTGAGTTTCTTGGGGTTGAAGCAGTGAGTCATGTTCACGAACAAACATAACATTGCCATAACCAAAACGATGCTCATGTTGGGTAGACTATATATCTTAATTTGCTTAAACTATATAATATAAACGTCGACCGAGCTTAAATCGGTGAATCAATAGCTAGTGACGAGTGCATGTCTTGATCTTGTTGCCCTATTTATAGGGGAAGATGATCACCGTTACGCCCAACCGTTTTGATCCACGTGTCTCATGGACATCATTTTTTCCAAGTACCTTATTATAGTCAAGACGCTTCTATTAAATAAACGGATTAACGAACGATATATATATATATTATTTTTCTGAAAGAAAACTATTTCATATATAAGATACTTACGATAATTTTTTTTCAGAAAATATATCATGTAAAACTCGAGCCGTAGACCACAATCACAAGATTTTTTTTTGATGAAATGTGCATCTATTAAGTATTAACCAAAAAAAATACTCTTTATAGTTTACAGAACCGTTTTGAAATCGGTTAACAAAATAAAACTTTCATGCCTATTGCTTTCCTAGCAAAAGACATATCAGGGAGGCCTTGTGATATAGTACCAATTCTGTAGTAACAAACTTTTACGAGGTTGCATGCTCGTTTGGCAAGATAAGATAATGTTCCGAACTAGCCGATCCAGCTTTTGAATAAAATCTGGTAGTTAGTGTTCTGTGCGCAGAAAATCCTGCTATTTCTCTCATGCCAAGCAAGATAAACCACAATCACAAGATGAAGTCGAAGGAGATTACATTATCACGTCAATATTGGATAACGAATTTTATCCTATCGATCTATCTTTTTTTTTAACCGTTAATAAATCCAAACCATAAGCTTACATTTCGTCGTCTTATACATAGAATTTAAATTTTCAAGGACAGAAGGCTCACACGTGACGGTTAACGGTTAGGCCCACGAAGCAATGTGGGCGCCAAATACGTTGTCGTATCGAATGCTATAAACTTTAACCCCATAAATCAAGGGGATTTTTGTTTTGTAGTCTCGTTGAAGATTTTGTGTATTGACGGCGAAATATGTTCGTTAATGTAGCCGTTAATGGTGGTTGCTTGGCCGTTGAAAATCAATCCTGACCGTCTGATTCCTCATCCAACGGTTGAAAACACTCATGTTCATGCATCCGAAGACATTTTGAGAATACCCACGTGAGATGGGTTTGAAAATCTCGTAATTTATGCGGTTTAAAGGAAAACCTGCACGTAATACTTGGCGTGAATCGGGTTAATCATGTTTACTTTTTATCACTACATATGTTTTTTGGTAATGAAATTTTTTTTTTAAATAACACCCGTCTTTATTATTTTAAACATCAGCTATCTACAAATCTAACATTGAAATGAATTTTGATATTTACAACATACATAAAACTATCACATTTATTAATAAATCCGTTTAAGCCTAATTAATAATATTTTGATAATAATAATTAATGTCATTAATATATTTGAAATTGAATTGAAAATATATAAATTAATAACATTTATATATTTTATAAAATTATATTATTTGGATATATATAGATAGTTTATGATATTTAATATATAAATGTTATTATAAAACAATTTCCACAAGAACTTCGTGAAAAATGGATCGTCCAGATTTCTCATCTAAAGTCAGGGATGCTGAACCCACATGGTTGGTTGTTCTTTTGTTTCAAGACCCAAACTAATTCCGAGATCG